CTTTGCTGAATGTATTCAGTGGCTTAAAAACCTCAGTGTTAGAAATATAACACAGGAGACAGGAATGAGCTGGTGTCTATGAGTCATCTCTCCCTCTCGCTCTCTCTAGTACCAGTCAAAAGTTTGGACACACCTGCTCATTCAATATATTTTATAATTTAGATTCTTCAAAATAGCCACCCTTTGCCTTGATGACAGCTTTGACATGCCAAGAGTGTGCAAAGCTGTCATTAAGGCAAAGGGTGGCTACTTTGAAGAATCTCAAATCTTTTTTGGTTCCTACATGATTCCATATGTGTTATTTCATAGTTTTGATGTCTTCACTATTATTCTACAATGTAGAAAATAGTAAAAATAAAGAAAAACCCTTGAATTAGTAGGTGTGTCCAAACTTTTGACTGGTACTGTACATGCAGTATACAGTGCATTCAGAAGGTATTCAGACCCCTTGATTTTGTCCACATTTTGTTACTTTACAGCCTTATTCTAAAATTGAATAAATTTATTTTTTTCCTCATCAATCTATACACAATACCCCATAATGACAAAGCAAAAACAGGTTCTGACATTTTTGCAAATTTATTAAAAATAAAAAACAGAAATATCACATTTACATAAGTATACAGAACTTTTACTCAGTACTTTTTTGAAGCACCTTTGGCAGTGATTACAGCCTCGAGTCTTCTTGACGCTACAAGCTTGGCACACCTGTATTTGGGGAGTTTCTCTCAATCTTCTCTGCAGATCTCTCAAGCTCTGTCAGGTTGGATGGGGAGCGTCGCTGCACAGCTATTTTCAGGTCTCTCCAGAGATGTTTGATCGGGTTCAAATCCGGTATCTGGCTGGGCCACACAAGGACATTCAGAGACTTGTCCCGAAGTCACTCTTGCATTGTCTTGGCTGTGTGCTTAGGGTCGTTGTCCTGTTGTAAGGTGAACCTTCGCCCAAGGCTGAGGTCCTGAGCGCTCTGGAGCAGGTTTTCATCAAGGATCTCTCTGTACTTTGCTCCGTTCATCTTTCCCTCGATCCTGACTAGTCTCCCAGTCCCTGCCACTGAAAAACATCCCCACAGCATGATGCTGCCACCACCATGCTTCACCATAGGGATGGTGCCAGGTTTCCTCCAAATGTGACGCTTGGCATTCAGGCCAAAGAGTTCAATCTTGGTTTCATCAGACCAGAGAATCTTGTTTCTCATGGTCTGAGTCCTTTAGGTGCCTTTTGGCAAACTCCAAGCGGGCTGTCATGTGCCTTTTACAGAGGAGTGGCTTCTGTCTGGCCACTCTACCATAAAGGCCTGATGGTGGAGTGCTGCAGAGATGGTTGTCCTTCTGGAAGGTTCTCCCATCTCCACAGAGGAACTCTGGAGTTCTGGGTTCTTGGTCACCTCCCTGACCAAGGCCCTTCTCCCCTGATTGCTCAGTTTGGCCAGGCGGCCAGCTCCAGGAAGAGTCTTGGTGGTTCTTCCGTTTAAGAATGATGGAGGCCACTGTGTTCTTGGGGACCTTTAATGCTGCAGACATTTTTGGTACCCTTCCCCAGGTCTGTGCCTCGACACAATCCTGTCTCTGAGCTCTACGGACAATTCCTTCGACCTCATGGCTTGGTTTTTGCTCTGACATGCACTGTCAACTGGGGGACCTTATATAGACAGCTGTGTGCCTTTCCAAATCATGTCCAATCAATTGAATTTACCACAGGTAGACTCCAATCAAGTTGTAGAATCATCTCAAGGATAATCAATGGAAACAGGATGCACCTGAGCTCAATTTCGAGTCTCATAGAAAGACTGTGGTGGTCCTCTGTAGCTCAGCTGGTAGAACACAGCGCTTGTAACACCAGGGTAGTGGGTTCAATCCCCGCGACCACCCATACACAAAAATGTATGCACGCATGACTGTAAGTCGCTTTGGATAAAAGCGTCTGCTAAATGGCATATTTTTATTATTATTATTATTATTATTATTAATTAAAGGGCCTAAATACTTATGTAAATAAGGTATTTCTGTTTTAGTTTTTTATAAACTTGAAAGAAATTCTAAAAACCTGTTTTTGCTTTGTCATTATTGGGTATTGTGTGTAGATTGAGGAGGAAATTGTTTTATTCAATCAATTTTAGATAAGGCTGTAACGTAACAAAATGTGGAAAAAGCCAAGGGGTCTGAATACTTTCCAAATGCACTGTATATATATACACTACCGGTCAAAAGTTTTAGAACACCTACTCATTCAAGGGTTTTTCTTTATTCTTTACTATTTTCTACATTGTAGAATAATAGTGAAGACATCAAAACTATGAAATAACACATATAGAATCATGTAGTAACCAGAAAGCTGTTAAACAAATCAAAATATATTTTATATTTGAGATTCTTCAAAGTAGCCACCATTTGCCTTGATGACAGCTTTGCACACTCTTGGCATTATCTCAACTAGCTTCATGAGGTAGTCACCTGGAATGCATTTCAATGAACAGGTGTGCCTTCTTAAAAGTTAATTTGTGGAATTTCTTTCCTTCTTAATGCGTTTGAGCCACTCAGTTGTGTTGTGAAAAAGTAGGGGGGGTATACAGAAGATAGCCCTATTTGGTAAAAGACCAAGTCCATATTATGGCAAGAACAGCTCAAATAAGCAAAGAGAAACGACAGTCCATCATTACTTTAAGACATGAAGGTCAGTCAATACGGAAAATGTTAAGAACTTTGAAAGTTTCTTCAAGTGCAGTCGCAAAAACCATGAAGCGCTATGATGAAACTGGCTCTCATGAGGACCGCCACAGGAATGGAAGACCCAGAGTTACCTCTGCTGCAGAGGATAAGTTCATTAGAGTTACCAGCCTCAGAAATTGCAGCCCAAATAAATGCTTCACAGAATTCAAGTAACAGACACATCTCAACATCAACTGTTCAGAGGCGACTGCGTGAATCAGACCTTCATGGTCGAATTGCTGCAAAGAAAGCACTGCTAAAGGACACCAATAAGAAGAAGAGACTTGCTTGGGCCAAGAAACACGAGCAATGGACATTAGACCGGTGGAAATGTGTCCTTTGGTCTGGAGTCCAAATTTGAGATTTTTGGTTCCAACCTCTGTGTCTTTGTGAGATGCGGTGTGGGTGAACGGATTATCTCCGCATGTGTATTTCCCACCGTAAAGCATAGAGGAGGAGGTGTTATGGTGTGTGGGTGCTTTGCAGCGATACGCCATCCCATCTGGTTTGGGCTTAGTGGGACTATAATTTGTTTTCAACAGGACAATGGCCCAACACACCTCCAGGCTGTGTAAGGGCTATTTGACCAAGAAGGAGAGTGATGGAGTGCTGCATCAGATGACCTGGCCTCCACAATCCCCCGACCTCAACCAAATTGAGATGGTTTGGGATGAGTCGGACTGCAGAGTGAAGGAAAAGCAGCCACCAAGTGCTCAGCATATGTGGGAACTCCTTCAAGACTGTTGGAAAAGCATTCCAGGTGAAGCTGGTTGAGAGAATGCCAAGAGTGTGCAAAGCTGTCATCAAGGCAAAGGGTGACTATTTGAAGAATCTCAAATATAAAATATATTTCGATATGTTTAACACTTTTTGGGTTACTACATGATTCCATATGTGTTATTTCATAGTTTTGATGTCTTCACTATTATTATACAATGTAGAAAATAGTAAAAATAAAGAAAAACCCTTGAATTAGTAGGTGTGTCCAAACTTTTGACTGGTACTGTACATGCAGTATACAGTGCATTCAGAAGGTATTCAGACCCCTTGATTTTGTCCACATTTTGTTACTTTACAGCCTTATTCTAAAATTGAATAAATTTATTTTTTTCCTCATCAATCTATACACAATACCCCATAATGACAAAGCAAGCTGGATAGCTTGATAGAGTAATAAAACAGAGGGAAAGAGAGAGAGAGGTATAGAATAGAGAGAGAGGGATACATGGAAAAAGAACAGAGGGAAATCAAAGAAACCGACCTGGCCTTCATCAGAGCAGAAGAGAGAGAGAGATAGAACAGTGTAAGAGAGAGATAGAAAAGAGAGAGAACGTGTGTGTGAGAGAGAGAGAGCGGGAGAGAGAGAGGGAGAAAGAACAGAGAGAAAGAATTACTGGAAAAAGACACGTCTCTTTTACCTCATGTGATGTGGGTATTCTGTGTTGTGTTCGGTCAGATCAGAACAGAAAAGATGGCAGAGGAGGAACAGAGAGGAGGACAGAAAGAATCACAAAGAAAGACAGTTACCAGGACAGAAAGGAGGACAGAGTAGGATAGAAAGGAGGACAGAGAGGAGGACAGAGAGGAGGACAGAAAGAAAGAAGCACAGAAAGAAGGACAGAGAGGAGGACAGAGAGGAGGATAGAAAGAAAGAAGGACAGAGAGGAGGACAGAGAGGAGGACAGAAAGAAAGAAGCACAGAGAGGAGCACAGAGAGGAGGACAAAGAGGAGGACAAACAGGAGGGACACCAGGTCTAATAGACAGTTATTTAAGCATCAGCAGAGAGGAGCCTGGGTAATTACTGTGAAGTGAGTGAAAAGACAGAGTTGCCATGGTGATCCTGATTACTTTAGGAGCTGTTTAGTTCATGTAGATCCTGGATGGGAGGAGGGCATGGGAGAGGAGGAGAGGAGGGCATGGGAGAGGAGGAGAGGAGGGCATGGGAGAGGAGGAGAGGAGGGGAGGGGGGCAGAGGAGAGGAGGGCATGGGAGAGGAGGAGAGGAGGGCATGGGAGAGGAGGTTATGGGAGGAGGAGAGGAGGGCATGGGAGAGGAGGTGAGGAGGAGAGGAGAGGAGGGCATTGGGAGAGGAGGGCATAGGAGTATGAGGGAGATGAGAGAGGAGGATGAGAGAGGAGAGAGAGGGATGGGAGATGGAGGAAGGAGTTTATGTGGAGAGAGGAGAGGAGGACATCGTGATTAGGGATTGGGAGGAGAGGAGGGAGGAGGAGGGGAGGAGGGCTTGGGATTGGGAGGGCGTGAGGAGCGCGGCGGTTGGGGAGGCGGAGCGATGGCGGGAGAGTGGCTGGCATCGAGAGGGGAGTCGAGGCGGATGGGCATGGGAGAGGAGGAGAGGAACAGCCTCAGTACTCAGTTATTTAGTTCTTTAAAAATAAAAAATAAAAACACTTTCAGCTCCTACACTCATTTCACTGTAACTTTGTCTTCAGGAGAGAGGGGGTTCCTGTAAATTAAGATGGAGGGACACTCCGTGCAAGTAACAGGCTGCAATTGATATTAATCACTTCATCATCCCAGACCTAATCAGTCTCCTGAGAGTGTACTGCGTTAGTACAGCGTTAGTACAGCGTTACTGCAGGCACTCTGTTTTCCATCTGTTTTGTCAGACAGCTCTGACTCTCTCCCATAATTATATGCTCATTAGTCATTGTTAAGTGTTGTCGGCACAGCCTTAGTCGTGTGTATTTTGTGTGTAGGCCCTACTGTATGTTTTGGCGTGACGTGGTGGAAAAGTGTTTTGCGAGCAGCCCTCTGCTTATATGAGTAAGTGTGTGTTTGAGAAGGTATGTGCGTGTACGTGCGGTGCATACATGTGTATGTATTCCCCTCTGTTTGTGTATGTGTGTCTGCTCCCCTCAGGGACAACGGGGCTGTGGAGGTAAACAGGCTCATTAAGAGGCATGTGATCACAGCTGAGCACCCTGGGCCACAGCCTGAGTGGCGAGGAGTAATGACACACCATAGGGATGCCGTGGCCGCCACACACACAGGTAGATTCATGGAGACTCCAGGGGAGGGAGGGGTGCAACACTGGGCCTCTCCAGCTTGTTACTGTCTCTGCTGCTGCTGTTCCAGCCACTCAAGCGTATGTCCAACACCCCCTCCCCTCCCCTCCTCCTCTGCTCTTCAGAGCACCTTCACTGACATATGGTCCCCCTTGGTGAACCTAAGTTGGATCCATCTCTCCCTTTCCCTCTAGGGCTTTTATGTGCTTGAGTGAAGGACTACGGTACTGTGTGTTATCTGTTCACTGGGGACTTGGGAGGAACATGAACTTCACTGTATGCTGTATTTTCCTCTGTAGTCACAAGTGGAGGATGATTAAGTCCAGAGGCATCATGCCCATAGGGGGCACAGGGGCATGTGCCCCCTCAGATTTGTCCTGTTAATTATAATAATTAAAAAAAAAACATTTTAATAATAATAATGTTTAGTTTTTTTCTGTGTAATTCTACTAACCACTAACCAATTTTATGAAGTTGGCTTTAGCTAGGCCAGATAGGTTCCCAATCTCATAACCTAATAACCAAGAAGCCATTTCAGGCTATCAATCAAGTTAGAGTAGCTAGCTTGTCTAACTAAGCTGGCATGCCTGCTGGCAAGGTTGGTAGACTTTAGAAAAACAAACAATTACTAACTGTATGTACAGTGGGGGAAAAAAGTATTTAGTCAGCCACCAAATTGTGCAAGTTCTCCCACTTAAAAAGATGAGAGAGGCCTGTAATTTTCATCATAGGTACACGTCAACTATGACAGACAAAATGAGAAAAAAAAATCCAGAAAATCACATTGTAGGATTTTTAATGAATTTATTTGCAAATTATGGTGGAAAATAAGTATTTGGTCAATTACAAAAGTTTCTCAATACTTTGTTATATACCCTTTGTTGGCAATGACACAGGTCAAATGTTTTCTGTAAGTCTTCACAAGGTTTTCACACACTGTTGCTGGTATTTTGGCCCATTCCTCCATGCAGATCTCCTCTAGAGCAGTGATGTTTTGGGGCTGTCGCTGGGCAACACGGACTTTCAACTCCCTCCAAAGATTTTCTATGGGGTTGAGATCTGGAGACTGGCTAGGCCACTCCAGGACCTTGAAATGCTTCTTACGAAGCCACTCCATCGTTGCCCGGGCGGTGTGTTTGGGATCATTGTCATGCTGAAAGGCCCAGCCACGTTTCATCTTCAATGCCCTTGCTGATGGAAGGAGGTTTTCACTCAAAATCTCACGATACATGGCCCCATTCATTCTTTCCTTTACACGGATCAGTCGTCCTGGTCCCTTTGCAGAAAAACAGCCCCAAAGCATGATGTTTCCACCCCATGCTTCACAGTAGGTATGGTGTTCTTTGGATGCAACTCAGCATTCTTTGTCCTCCAAACACGACAAGTTGAGTGTTTACCAAAAGTTCTATTTTGGTTTCATCTGACCATATGACATTCTCCCAATCCTCTTCTGGATCATCCAAATGCACTCTAGCAAACTTCAGACGGGCCTGGACATGTACTGGCTTAAGCAGGGGGACACGTCTGGCACTGCAGGATTTGAGTTCTGGGATTTTTGCTCACTGTTCTTGTGATCATTTTGACCCCACGGGGTGAGATCTTGCGTGGAGCCCCAGATCGAGGGAGATTATCAGTGGTCTTGTATGTCTTCCATTTCCTAATAATTGCTCCCACAGTTGATTTCTTCAAACCAAGCTGCTTACCTATTACAGATTCAGTCCTCCCAGCCTGGTGCAGGTCTACAATTTTGTTTCTGGTGTCCTTTGACAGCTCTTTGGTCTTGGCCATAGTGGAGTTTGGAGTGTGACTGTTTGAGGTTGTGGACAGGTGTCTTTTATACTGATAACAAGTTCAAACAGGTGCCTGTAGAGTCTCCTCAGGTAACGAGTGGAGGACAGAGGAGACTCTTAATGAAGAAGTTACAGGTCTGTGAGAGCCAGAAATCTTGCTTGTTTGTAGGTGACCAAATACTTATTTTCCACCATAATTTGCAAATAAATTCATAAAAAATCCTACAATGTGATTCTCTGGAAAAAAATTCTCAATTTGTCTGTCATAGTTGACGTGTACCTATGATGAAAATTACAGGCCTCTCTCATCTTTTTAAGTGGGAGAACTTGCACAATTGGTGGCTGACTAAATACTTTTTTTCCCCACTGTATGTACTCATATTTCTTTCAATCATTTACCCAGATTTTAGCAGAGATGCAGAAAATAATATTTAGTTTCTTTAAAAAAATAACCACCAGTCAGGAGGATACAGACAGCTCAAGAGGTATGCTTAGATACTGTATGCAGAAAAATATACTTTTTTTTTTTTTTACATAGAATTAAGCATAATGATTATGGCTCTAGATTGCAGGAAAATACAGTTTCAGGTGTTTGAAAAATATAAAATTCTCCAACTGCGTGTGCATGCATGTGTGTGTGTGAGCAGAGCATCAGCTGACAAATAGATTCTGCTGTAAACAAAAATACTCCTGCTGGAACCACAAATGTCGCCTTTGAGGAAAGGGGGAAATCTAGTCAGTTGCACAACTGAATGCATTCAACCGAAATGTGTCTTCCGCATTTAACCCCTCTGAATCAGAGAGGTGCGGGGGGCTGCCTTAATCGATATCCACGTCATCGGTGTCCGGGGAGCAGTTGTTGGGGGTTAACTGCTTTGCTCCCACCTTGCCGGCTTGGAGATTCCAACCAGCGACCTTTCGTTACAGGCCCAACGCTCTTAATCGCTAGGCTACCTGCCGCTCCCACACATTATGTAACATTTGGGCAAAGCAGCAGACACACACACACACACACACACACACACACACACACACACACACACACACACACACACACACACACACACAATCAGCAGGGTTCGACCCTGCTGCTTCTGTATTGATCTTGATGGAAGTTCTCTCTTTCTCTCCTTCTCTTCCCCTCTCTCTCTTCCTCTCTCCTGTTCTCTGTTGCCTATGGCTGAACTCCTCATGCAAACTAAATTAATCTATGTTGTCTTGATAACACAGGAAAAAACTATCCAAAAACATCTGGGAACATTTGAGCAAATAGGACATCTACATTACTGACTGCAATACAGTTTTGTTATTAGAACGTTGTGACTCCATTGATCAATTCTCACGCTAACAAAATATGTTTGATTACATCTCAGTGCAGATATACACTGAGTATACAAAACATTAAGAACAACACCACCTACAGAGGTGGTCCTCTGTAGCTCAATTGGTAGAGCACAGCGCTTGTAACGCCAGGGTAGAGTTTCGATCCCCGGGACCACCCATATGTAAAGATGTATGCACACATGACTGTAAGTCGCTTTGGATAAAAGAGTCTGCTAAATGGCATATTATTATTATATTATATCCTCTTTCCATTATATACACTGAGTATTCAAAACATTAAGAACATCCTCTTTCCATGACATAGACGGACCAAGTGAATCCAGGTGAAAGCTTTGATCCCTTATTGATGTCACTTGTTAAAATCACTTCAATCAGTCTAGATGAAGGGGAGGAGACAGGTTAAAGAAGGATTTTTAATCCTTGAGACAATTGAGACATGGATTGTGTATGTGTGCCATTCAGAGGGTGAATGGGCAAGACAAAAGATGTACGTGCCTTTGAACAGGGTATGGTAGTAGGTGCCAGGCGCACCGGTTTGTGTCAAGAACTGCAACGCTGCTGGGTCTTTTCAAGCTCAAGTTTCCTGTGTGTATCAAGAATGGTCCACCACCCAAAGGACATCCAGCCAACTTTACACAACTGTGGGAAGCATTGTAGTCAACATGGGCCAGCATCCCTGTGGAAATCTTTAGACACCTTGTAGAGTCCATGCCCCAACGAATTGAGGGGGGGGGGGGGGGGGGGGGGTGCAACTCAATATTGGGAAGGTGTTCCTAATGTTTGGTATACTCAGTGTATGTTATTATACTATATGCTTTGATTATAATATTCTCCATCGTAGTCCCCTGTAGCTCAGTTGGTAGAGCATGGCGCTTGCAACGCCAGGGTTGTGGGTTCGTTTCCCACGGGGGGCCAGTATGAAAAGGTATGCACTCACTAACTGTAAGTCGCTCTGGATAAGAGCGTCTGCTAAATGACTAAAAATGTAAAAATGTATTCAGAGAAAGTATTGATGTAGTACTCCAGCTCTCCACCAGGTGTCTCTAGTGTAATATGGAATAGTGTACTTTCTCTGTGTTTCCACAGCAGCTCCCTCTCTGGTTTAAAGAGCCCACATGCCAGTATTATGACATCAGTTCAGGCCTGGACCTGTTTCAACTGTCAGCCTTACCTGTATACCTGTTTCAGAGCCATGTAAATACCTACTTCATAAACTTCAACTTGGTAGTGTCTTTACACTCAAAGGAAATACCTCAGGCATCAGACAATCCCCAACCAAGCATTTAATCTAACACGCAACACAGCAACAGATGTTTTTGAGGTTTAGGTCTAGTTTGCTGAGAGATGCATAAACAGTGCTACCGTACACAATATATAATTGAATTGTGATTGATTGAATCTGATTGATGATGCTAATGCTATTGCTCTGTGTTGTGTTTCCCTACAGTAAAGTAGAGACAGCAGCCATTGAGACAGAGCTGGTGAGGGACTACAGGTTTGGCCAGCAGCAGCTGATAGAGATCTGGGGGCATGCCTGTGCCATCGCCATCACCAAGGTACTGTATGTACCACCCTTATCCCCCCACTCCTTTTTCCTTCCTCTCTCCAATAATCACCTTTTTCGGGCTACTCATCAATCCATGTATCCATCAATCAATCAATCAATCAAATGTATTTATAAATCCCTTTTTACATCAGCAGATGTCACAAAGTGTTTATACAGAAACCCAGCCTAAACCCCCAAACAGCAAGCAATGCAGATGTAGAAGCACGGTGGCTAGGAAAAACTCCCTAGAAAGGCAGGAACCTAGGAAGCAACCTAAAGAGGAACCAGGCTCTGAGGGGTGGCCAGTCCTCTTCTGGCTGTGCCATCCTTCCTTCCATCCATCCATCTATCTATCCATCCATCCATCCCTCTCTCCCATTCCCAGTCTCTGATGCTGTTTCACCTAATAGTATTTCAAAACCATGCAACTTTCTAAGGGCTCGTGACATATGAACTGTGAATAGAGATTTAGGGAACACACAGGGACTGTTCTGTTCTCTGTGTTTTTGGAAAAAACTTGTTTTTTTGTGTTGACTGGGTCTTTACTTACAGTTGTGGGATAACTGTCCCTCTCATCAGTGCTGTGTCTCTGCTCCATAAATCCTGAGGCACACCAGAGCCTCTGTTCCTCTGTTCACTACTGGGCCTGATGAGAGACTGTTCTGCTCCTCTGCTGGGAGCCAGTCTGGCAAGTCCACATGCCCCTTACATCAGACCCCTACATGTGTGTGTGTGTATGTGTGTTCGTCTCTTTGTGTAATGTGTGGTGAGCATCCTGTAAGTTAGTTCTCCCAGCCAGACTGCCTATGGTCAGCAGTAGCAGGGTATGGAGTGTGGAGCTGTCAGTAACACACGCGGTTCCTTTGACCAGACGGTCGGTTGGTTTAACCCTGTAGTCGTTTCCTCCACAAGAACCCAGTGTGGTGTGATTAATGTTCCCTGAGCTTCCAGACATATGAGACACTTTCCTGTCAGAGAAAAAGAGAGAGAGAAAGAGACCAAGAAAGAGTGAGTGCTCCCCTCAGAGCGTCTGATTACCTCAACCACATCCACCTACCACCATTATCACCAAAAGCCAATGGTCCATGGCTAGAGCGGACCCAGCCGCAGCACACATACTGTAGCTAGACAAACAGTGCCTGGCTCGGCCTGGGCCCGGAGCGGCCAGGGGCTACTGCACCCACACGCATTAAATCACTGTTATTAAGGAAAAGTGCAGTAGTAGGGCTTTGTGATTTCACTGCAGTGGTTGCGGTTGCCAGATAACATTAATTTCTCACAGAGTAAACGCTCCATATACGTCCAAAGACATCCAACCTCCCTGGCAGCAACCACACGGGCCCATCAAGGGTCCATCTCAGCGGTGTTCCTCTGTGATCTGGTGTGCGTGAGTGCAGCGCCTGTGTTCAGCCAAGGGGTTAGGATAGCAGGCAAAGGCCTTTCAGCACCTGGGGAGACAAAGAATGTTCCGCTTCCACGGAGCAGTAAACGCTGGAGTCTGTTGTCCCTGGGTCCCTGTTCTGTCTACTCAAGATGTGTTCAATATGTCAACGTGTCCATTTGAAAAACACATTGATTATCCTGCTCAGCTTTCATCAGGAGTGTGTAGCTGTATGTTTATGTTTGGGTGATTCCTCACGAAACTAGATTAAAAAAAGACCATGATATTTGGGATTTTCACGAAATGTAATCCATAAAAGGGTCCTTTGGAGGAAAGATTGTTGACATATGTTTGACATTTGTATCTTAAAGCATAATTGAGAAATAATTAATTGAAGTTGGAATATTTGTGCCATTTTGGCCTTACCCAGGCTCCATAATGTTTCATCTGTAGATGCTACAAAGCAAAAATGTGTAATACGAAGCTTTATCACCTGCTCTGTAATATGAGTCGTATTTATATATTTTTTATTTTTTTTATACATTAATTTATGAATATTGAAAAATATAAAAAGGTATTTTGTGAAAATACAAAATATCACAGTATTTTTTTGTTCTAGTTTTGTGAGGAATCATCCGTTTATGTGTTTGTATTTGTGGGTGTGTGTGTGGTGGGACACATGGGTGTGGGGGCATGTGGGTGTGGGGGCATGTGTGTGTGGGGGCATGTGTGTGTGTGTGTGTCGTGTGGTGGGACACGTGGGTGTGGGGGCATGTGGGTGTGGGGGCATGTGTGTGTGTGTGTGTCGTGTGGTGGGACACGTGGGTGTGGGGGCATGTGGGTGTGGGGGCATGTGTGTGTGTGTGTGTCGTGTGGTGGGACACGTGGGTGTGGGGGCATGTGGGTGTGGGGGCATGTGTGTGTGTGTGTGTCGTGTGGTGGGACACGTGGGTGTGGGGGCATGTGTGTGTGTGTGTGTGGTGGGACACGTGGGTGTGGGACACGTCGGTGTGGGACACGTGGTGTGGGACACGTGTGTGTGTGGGGGCATGTGGGTGTGGGGGCATGTGTGTGTGTGTGTGTGTCGTGTGGTGGGACACGTGGGTGTGGGGGCATGTGGGTGTGGGGGCATGTGTGTGTGTGTGTGTGTCGTGTGGTGGGACACGTGGGTGTGGGGGCATGTGGGTGTGGGGGCATGTGTGTGTGTGTGTGTCGTGTGGTGGGACACATGGGTGTGGGGGCATGTGTGTGTGTGGTGGGACACGTGGGTGTGGGACACGTCGGTGTGGGACACGTGGTGTGGGACACGTGTGTGTGTGGGGGCATGTATGTGTTTGTGTGTGTGGTGTGTGTGTCTGTGTCTGTGTGTGTGTGTGTGTGTGTGTGTGTGTGTATCAGGTGGATGAGAGCAGAGGCCCTATAGTGCAGGGATGGGCAACTTTGATGGGGGTGGGGGCCACAAAAATGTTATAACAAATTTTATGCAATTTTACTCATTTTGCCATGGGGCGCAGATTTTTTTTGGCAGTTTTACAGATAATTTCCTGAAATTATGCACATTTTGTCATAGGGTGGAGGCAAATGTTTGCAGTTTTTAATATGATAACTGATGATCAATGGGCCACACCCCGGTTCGTAATTTGGCCATGCTTGCTACAAGTTTATATAGTCTAGCGGTCAGCTAACTTACCAATCAAAAACAAAATTGCTGACATGAACAAAACATTTTTTCGTTTATTGGTCCACGGGCCTACGAAAGGGCAGGCCGCCAGTTGCCCATCCCTGATATAATGTACCTCATTACTATGGATATCAGGTCTTTAGCTCTGATCCCCCCTCCTCTCTCAGTCAACTTACCTTGTAAAATAAAATTAAAAGTAGGCTTAGCCTCTGGGACCTTATTAGAGTCAATACAGCCATTGCTCCTGTGTGTGTGTGTGTGTGTGTGTGTGTGTGTGTGTGTGTGTGTGTGTGTGTGTGTGTGTGTGTGTGTGTGTGTGTGCATGCGTGCGTGCGTACGTACGTGTGCATGCGTGTGCGCACGTGTATGAGGATAGGTACCATGAGCTGACATAACAGCATTCCTCCAGATAGGAGCAAGGGGCAGGGTAGCAGGGTAGCATGGTAGCAGGGTAGCAGGGCTACACCCTGACTACTAAACCCAGACCAGGGCATGCTGCTCCTCTAAAACCAGCTTGTTCCACTGGATGTGAATTTTCGACATCTACTGAAACGACCATCTCTTTAAATCAAATCAAATCAAATCAAATTTTATTGGTCACATGCGCCGAATACAACAGGTGCAGACATTACAGTGAAATGCTTACTTACAGCCCTTAACCAACAGTGCATTTATTTTAAACAAAAAAAGTAAAAATAAAACAACAACAACAAAAAAGAGTGTTGAGAAAAAAAAGAGCAGAAGTAAAATAAAGTGACAGTAGGGAGGCTATATATACAGGGGGGTACCGTTGCAGAGTCAATGTGCGGGGGCACCGGCTAGTTGAGGTAGTTGAGGTAATATGTACATGTGGGTAGAGTTAAAGTGACTATGCATAAATACTTAACAGAGTAGCAGCAGCGTAAAAAGGATGGGGTGGGGGGGCATTGCAAATAGTCCGGGTAGCCATGATTAGCTGTTCAGGAGTCTTATGGCTTGGGGGTAGAAGCTGTTGAGAAGTCTATTGGACCTAGACTTGGCACTCCGGTACCGCTTGCCGTGCGGTAGCAGAGAGAACAGTCTATGACTAGGGTGGCTGGAGTCTTTGACAATTTTGAGGGCCTTCCTCTGACACCGCCTGGTATAGAGGTCCTGGATGGCAGGAAGCTTTGCCCCAGTGATGTACTGGGCCGTACGCACTACCCTCTGTAGTGCCTTGCGGTCGGAGGCCAAGCAGTTGCCATACCAGGCGGTGATGCAACCAGTCAGGATGCTCTCGATGGTGCAGCTGTAGAATTTTTTGAGGATCTGAGGACCCATGCCAAATCTTTTTAGTCTCCTGAGGGGGAATAGGCTTTGTCGTGCCCTCTTCACGACTGTCTTGGTGTGTTTGGACCATGATAGTTCGTTGGTGATGTGGACACCAAGGAACTTGAAGCTCTCAACCTGTTCCACTACAGCCCCGTCGATGAGAATGGGGGCGTGCCCAGTCCTCTTTTTTTTCCTGTAGTCCACAATCATCTCCTTTGTCTTGGTCACGTTGAGGGAGGGGTTGTTGTCCTGGCACCACACGGCCAGATCTCTGACCTCCTCCCTATAGGCTGTCTCATCGTTGTCGGTGATCAGGCCTACCACTGTTGTGTCGTCGGCAAACTTAATGATGGTGTTGGAGTTGTGCCTGGCCATGCAGTCATGGGTGAACAGAGAGTACAGGAGGGGACTGAGCACGCACCCCTGAGGGGCCCCCGTGTTGAGGATCAGTGTGGCAGATGTGTTGTTACCTACCCTTACCACCTGGGGGCGGCCCGTCAGGAAGTCCAGGATCCAGTTGCAGAGGGAGGTGTTTAGTCCCAGGATCCTTAGCTTAGTGATGAGCTTAGAGGGCACTATGGTGTTGAATGCTGAGCTGTAGTCAATGAATAGCATTCTCACGTAGGTGTTCCTCTTGTCCAGGTGGGAAAGGGCAGTGTGGAGTGCAATAGAGATTGCATCATCTGTGGATCTGTTGGGGCGGTATGCAAATTGGAGTGGGTCTAGGGTTTCTGGGATAATGCTGTTGATGTGAGCCATGACCAGCCTTTCAAAGCACTTCATGGCTACAGACGTCAGTGCTACGGGTCGGTAGTCATTTAGGCAGGTTATCTTAGAGTCCTTGGGCACGGGGACTATGGTGGTCTGCTTGAAACATGTTGGTATTACAGACTCAGTCAGGGACATGTTGAAAATGTCAGTGAAGACACTTGCCAGTTGGTCAGCACATGCTCGGAGTACACGTCCTGGTAATCCGTCTGGCCCTGCGGCCTTGTGAATGTTGACCTGCTTAAAAGTCTTACTCACATCGGCTACGGAGAGCGTGATCACATAGTCATCCGGAACAGCTGGTGCTCTCATTAGTCTTTAATCATTCTGTTAGCGCTAATGGCCTAATCCTAAAGCAAGGTGAGATAAGATAGAAAAGATAAGAGGATGCTGCTGTAAAAGGCACTCAGGTTTCACACTGCATTCACAGTATGTGCATATTGAATGTCACTTCCACTCCTATCAGAGATGGCTGGTCCTTATTGGGCTACGGTGCTAATTAGCGTTAGCATTTACCACAGGGGAACAGGTCAGAGAGGGTGTCATCACATCAGCGCAGCGAGAGACACACATGAAAACCCTGTTGCACAGCAGGAGACACACTACTACACCCTTAATGACACCAGGAAGCCGTTTCATCTGTTTCAGCCACTTAGATAAGAAAATGTTGCCTATCTCTTTCCTCTTTCTCGCTACGCGCAGAATGTAGCTTCTGCTGCCGTCATTATCCTTCCACCTCACAGACTCGATGCCGCCATTACCATCCTTCTTTCATCTCATTTAGAGTGTATCTGCTCCCAGACAGAACATTTATGTTACAGATAATGGCTGCTGTCTCTCTTCTACCGGCATAATTACTGTAATTAATGCTTTCATGTCTGTATTAATCTGATACAGCAATTAGAGTATGGCTCCATTTGTTGCACGGTAATGTACCACTCCATTTAGAGTCCCGGTTTTAGCGGCCATATTGAAAGTGGTCCAGTATAATACTTAGTGTTAGGCTACACATTTGGTTTGGTAAAGCTGTTGGAAAGTGAGGTGAGACACCTTTAGCTGTGATGTTGCTAGTAGCTAGCAACACTACATGTTTCACTCCCCTACTGATTCTATTTAGGTGTGAGGAGGAAGATTGGACCACTTAAGTCAACATGCCGTCTCCAGCGGGATAAAGTGGCGGATACCTTTGCTGCCTCTCTTAAGGACGTGTGAGGGGATTTACTGGGGTATGTGCTCTGCCCCTGTAAAACAGAGAAGGGGAGATGCCAGTGGCCCAGTGGGGAAACTCATGGCTCAGGCCTGATGGAAAGTAGTGTGTTATTTAAAGGGAGCAACCTGTGGTGTCCGGCTCTGTTTTTTTTTTCATTCCTGTCAGGGTTATTTTAATGAGTTTGGTGCTTTCTGTCATTAAAAAAAGACCTGGGTGCCATTTCCCCTGGCCATGGCATGGCGTCCCTGGCACGCGAAGGAGAGAGTCTGACAGTGATGGAGGGTCAGTCTGGCGGATGTAATGACCTGTACACTGGACAATGAGTCTACTAGGCTAACTGGTGATGTTTCTGTCTCACTCTCTGTCTCTCTCTCCCTCCAGGCCTTTCCTCTGACCTCCCTGGGTAAGAAGCAGCCAACAGTGTTGGTGGTCTGTGGTCCTGACCAGAACGGCTCCATCGGCCTGGTGTGTGCCCGCCACCTACGCATATTTGTAAGTATACCACAGAAGACTGCACTGGCCATGCACACACCAGCCATCTCACACACATGGCCATGTGGACAATATCAGACTATAGTTACTAATGAAAGAAATGGTTCAGTGAGTTTATTGCAGGATAAAGTAACAAGGCTTCCACTATGTTTACGGAGATTTTCATAAAATCTATAAATAGACCTTAATGATTAATTGATCCATTACGGGATTGAAAATGTCGATGGCATCACTTCATTGTTACCCTCATTAAATACTGTCTGGTTACAGTTGGCACTGGTAGCGTACCATGATGTCATGTTGGTGATGTCATTACTTTAGTCACATTAGTTTGCATGACTGTGGATATGCTGTTCTGTGGTGTGAAGACATTTATTGCAATATTACAGACGATTACAGTACATTAACTAAAAACATAATTTGAATAAGGATTTACACGTTATGATATAGTGAGGCAAGTCTACTATCTTTATTCTATTTGGCCTAAACCATAAATGCGTTTTGGTTTTCCTGCCTTAGAACAGAATGTATCTATATAACTTCACCAAATGTGTCTGAAATGGCAAATATATGGAGCATCGATATATCTGATTAAAACCATGTTGACAGCAGCTGTTAAAGTTGCAAGATGACTGTCTGTGAAGCTCTCAGGGCAGTGACTGGGCCTGGGGTCAACACAGATATATTTTACACCAGGATTCCAGGAATGAATAAAGCACTTCCACATAACTTCGATCCAAATAAAGAAATCATCAGTCGATGAATCCCTGACCGTTGAATCCCATTAGTCTTATTCCATGCAGGATTCACAAGTTCAGGTCTTAAAGAGGTAGTGCACTGCAGCAGATAAGACCAAGGTCTTTAGCTCTGATCTGGGAACTGTACATTTGATTAAACAGAGCGTAGATTACTATTTGGCCACTGGCAAATTAGTTAAACCAGACTGATTTCAAATCAAAATCAAATCATATCCATTTTTATTGGTCACATACACATATTTAGCAGATGTTATTACGGGTGTAGTGAAATGCTTGTGTTCCTAGCTCCAACAGTGCAGTAGTATCTAACAATTCACAACAATACACACAAATCTAAAAGTAAAATAATATTAGGACGAGCAATGTCTGAGTGGCAGTGACTAAAATACAGTCCTGGGCAGTCCTGGGCTAGCCATCCATGTTCACTGAGCTAGCATGTGTCTCAGTATGTTTGGCATGCATCTGTGGTTCTTTCCACTGCTAAATAAATGGCGAGGCAAAATATTGCACACAGAAAAGACAAATAGTCCCCAAGTCAAAGCTCATCTTCATCAGATTCTGTCTGAATATGATTATGTCTGTGACCGTTAGTCCACCCTGTTGTTCAGGCAAGGGAGGATGCACATGATGTTCTACAGTTCTTTCGGAACATAATGCGGTTCTTTCGTGTTTCTTGTGAACAAAAACACCTCGGTGTCTGAAAGAATCAAGTTTATCACATGACTGATGAATCCCAGAGATTCTACAATGTCTTTTCAATGTGGCCTTTGTGTCACTGTTTAAACAAACCACCGTGAATCTCAACGGACTGTGACCAAAGAGAAGACGCTCCTTCAAGGCCTACTCAGAATGCTCATCTTTCAGGAAGAGGAAGTTCAACGGTGGGAACGCTTAACATCAACAAGAAAAGGCGTGTGACCTGTCTGTAACTTGTAGTCATACCTAATTTCTCCTGTATGCCTCTTAGTTGACACTTGTTGACGCTAGAGAGCGTCCTGATGGTGCCTCCGTCCCCGAGGTATGTCTGTCTCATGTTGACGCTGTAACCTTTTCTAGGTCAGGGCACCAAGGGGTCACTAAGGGGTCGCAGCCACCCTAGAGGGACGTCTCTCTCTGGGTTCTTTAGAGGTGGTTATGAAAGATGACGTCAGTTTCCCGTTCTCCGGCCACTGTCGTTGAAGCCTGATTGGTTTAATGTCTCCCAGGAGCGAGTTGGAGCATGTGGACCGACGTCTGGGCTGACAGACCACTTCCCCCTCTGACTGACCAGGGCCAGCTAGTCAGAAATGGAGGGACCTGAACCTCTCACTGCCTGGTTTACATACCCAGCATGACCAGAAAACACAGCAGCACACTGAGGCCCTTTCACATAGACTATTTATCACTGTGATTGAGGCCCATTAGCGGTGGGGATCACGGCTGGCCATCGTTTAACATCACAAGCCACAGGTGTCTGGCTTTCCACTCTCCCTAAACATCTATCATTAATCATGTAGGTGTAGTTTAGTCATCCCAGAGTCCAGAGGGCTAGTAGGCGTACAACGCTGTGCTAACCAGTCTCTGTCTGTCTGTCCAGCCCTGATCTACACACAGACCGACAGACCAGAGGGAGAGAGGGGTAGGAAAACAGCAAAGTATGTTCTCTCTTAAATTGTCACCTTGTTAGAGGGCCTGTATTAATTTATATGGTTACAGAATATTTCATTCATACTTCATTTTCATATACTTTTCCTTTAACTATGTGTCATTCTCTCTCTCTCTCTCTCTCTCTCTCTCTCTCTCTCTCTCTCTCTCTCTCTCTCTCTCTCTCTCTCTCTCTCTCTCTCTCTCTCTCTCTCCTTTCAACAGGAGTATGAGCCCACCATCTACTATCCCAAACGCACCCCTCACACCATTCACCAGGACTTCACAGTTCAGTGTGAGAAGATGGACATCCCATTCCTCTCCTATCTCCCAACAGAGGTGAGCAACATAAAAAAGGACCATAAAACATTAAATGTTAGATGTCAAGTTTAATTCAAGTATTAATTTATGTCTTATACTTTTTATAGACACAAATGAATCCTTGAATTAAACTTGAATTAAACATCTGCTAGCGTAACTGATTTATGAAAGTGCACCTTGCTGGAGCTGTGAGCACAATGTAAAGCTCTTGTCTAGATGCTGACCAGAGTTTGGGTTGTGGTTGTGTTATGGTTGTGTGTTCAGGTGTTGATCAGAGTTTGGGTTGTGGTTGTGTTATGGTTGTGTGTTCAGGTGTTGATCAGAGTTTGGGTTGTGGTTGTGTTATGGTTGTGTGTTCAGGTGTTGATCAGAGTTTGGGTTGTGGTTGTGTTATGGTTGTGTGTTCAGGTGTTGATCAGAGTTTGGGTTGTGGTTGTGTTATGGTTGTGTGTTCAGGTGTTGATCAGAGTTTGGGTTGTGGTTGTGTTATGGTTGTGTGTTCAGGTGTTGATCAGAGTTTGGGTTGTGGTTGTGTTATGGTTGTGTGTTCAGGTGTTGATCAGAGTTTGGGTTGTGGTTGTGTTGTGGTTGTGTGTTCAGGTGTTGATCAGAGTTTGAGTTGTGGTTGTGTTATGGTTGTGTATTCAGGTGCAGTTGATCAACGATGCCTATAACCTGGTGATCGATGCCATCCTGGGGCCAGAGACTGACCACACAGACGTGAAGGAGCCCTACGCTGGCATCCTAGTCACTCTGAAGCAGGTCAAGATCCCCATCGTCAGTGTGGACATACCCTCAGGTAAGGCTGAGCGCTCTGCTGCACATTCAACATGTACCAGTGTTGCACAGATGTACAGAAAGTTGCCCAAAACAGGATTTTAGCTCTGAGCTAAACACGAATAAGCCATATGAAAAAGAAGAGCCTGTACATGCTCTACCACAGGAGGTTGGTGGCACCTTGATTGGGGAGGACGGGCTCATAGTAATGTCTAAAATGGAGTCAATGGAATGGTATCGAACTCATCAAACACATGGTTTCCATGTATTTGATACATTTTACATTTTAGTCATTTAGCAGACGCTCTTATCCAGAGACCGACTTACAGTTAGTGAGTGCATACATTATTTTTTTATATATACTTTTTTATTTTTCATACTGGCCCCCCGTGGGAATCGAACCCACAACCCTGGCGTTGCAAATGCCAAGCTCTACCAAACTGAGCTACATCCCTGCCGGCCATTCCCTCCCCTACCCTGGACAACGCTGGGCCAATTGTGCGCCGCCCCATGGGTCTCCCGGTCACGGCCGGCTACGACAGAGCCTGGATTCGAAACAGGATCTCTAGTGGCACAGCTAGCACTGCGATGCAGTGCCTGATACCATTCCATTCACTCCATTCCAGACATTACTATGAGCCATTCTCCCCTCAGCAGTCTCATGTGTGCTCCACAATACACCTGACCACATTTGCAGCTGCGATAGCCTTTGTCAGATCAACCTCAAGTCATCCTCAACACTGCTGAGCTGTTGAGGCCAACCTGGATGGACTGAGATAGTAAAGCATGTAGCTAAGTGCAGTACATCTATTTGGCCCATTATATCACACCCTCTCCCCATTTCATTTGTTCTGGAATGCTGCTACCTGGCAGGTGTCTCATCTGTAAGATATTAAATGCCGATTAAAGTTGAAAGGAGAAGATCAAGTGAGATACTCACTCTCTCCATTATGTTATTTCACGTGACATAGCTAGTAGATGTCAGCAGGCTAGTTGCCCCATCAATGGAGATGGAATTAAAATGGTGATCATCATTTCTCTGTTTATTAAAGGTTGGGATGTGGACCAGGTGACCTCAGATGGGATCAACCCAGACGTCCTGATCTCGCTTATGGCACCAAAGAGATGCGCCACCAGTTTCACGGGGAAGCACTACTTGGCGGGACGCTTCCTGCCTTATGACATCCAGAAGAAATACGATCTGAACCTGCCAGAATACCCAGGCATAGACAGTGTTATAGAATTGTAAAATCTTCTGTACACCCTCACCAGTCCTCATTTTGGATAAATATGGATAATATATTCACGTTTTGTATTTTATAGATTGTTACTGTGCTTTATTGTTCATGTGCTACAGTGCTATGAAAAAGTATTTGCCCCCTTTCTAATTTTCTCTACTTTTGCATATTTGTGATACTGAATGTTATCAGATCTTCAACCAAAACCTAATATTAGATAAAAGGAACATAAGTGAACAAATAACACAACAATTACATATTTATTTCATTTATTTCATAAACAAAGTTATGCAACACCCAATTCCCCTGTGTGAAAAAGTAATTGCCCCCTTACACTCAATAAATGTTTTTGCCACCTTTAGCTGCAATGACTCCAACCAAATGCTTCCTGTAGTTGTTGATCAGTCTCTCACGTCGCTGTGGAGGAATTTTGGCCCACTCTTCCATGCAGAACTGCTTTAACTCAGTGACGTGTGGGTTTTCAAGCATGAACTGCTCGTTTCAAGTACTGCCACAACATCTCAATTGGGATTAGGTCTGGACTTTGACTAGGCCATTCCAAAACTTCAAATGTGTTGCTTTTTAGCAATTTTCATGTAGACTTGATTGTGTGTTTTGGATCATTGTCTTGCTGCATGACCCAGCTGCGCTTCAGCTTCAGCTCATAGACGGATGGTCTGACATTCTCATGTAGAATTCTCTGATACAGAGCAGAATTCATGGTTCCTTCTATTAATGCAAGTCGTCCAGGTCCTGAGGCAGCAAAGCATCCCCAAACCATCACACCACCACCACCATGCTTTGCTGTTATTTGTTCACTTATGTTCCCTTTATCTAATATTAGCTTTTGGTTGAAGATCTGATAACATTCAGTATCACAAATATGCAAAAGTAGAGAAAATTAGAAAGGGGGCAAATACTTTTTCATAGCACTGTATCTCTCCAATGGGAGTAGACTAGAGCAGGTTACGCCTTACCAAGAATCCACTCTGTTTGCTCAAATACCATAGAAAGATGATATTTAGAATCTGTGGGTGGTCTGAGTTGTATGTCTGTTTTGGAAATGGTTTGAAAAGTTTCCATGTGAGTTACCATGTGAGTTGCCATGTGAGTTGCGTCATTCTCATTTTAGTGATTTCTTCTTTGCAAAGTTCAGAGATTGTCTTTCTCCCTCAGCAAAAAACGATGAATGTTGTACGGAAGAGGTATTTTGTACCTTCGAGTTAACTGCTATTTTTAAAATGTATTATTATGTTTTGAGTTCTGTTGTTCTTATTGAAGAATGCTTGGTTTTTGGGTCAAACTGTACTTTCCAGCAGCTGTGTTCTTTTTGTTTTATTTTTTAATTCAGTCTACACTTCTGCATTTCCTTAGTCCAAGTAACACCTGTTCATTGATTTTCAGTTGCAGAGTTAACTCTTTGTCCAATAAAATATCTAATTTAACAGTTATTTTGATTCCTATGTGATTCGGTGTAAGAAAGTAGGAAAGATGAAAGCTGACACGATTAAAGGTAATCATGACAGTAAATCTTCCACAGGAGTTAAAACTGTGTAGAATCTAAACTGTGTTGGTGGATAAAACTGCCATTATGCTTCATAACATCAGAGATCACACAGTAGGCTATGCAAATCCATGCCAAGCCTCAGACATTGTTAGAAGAGATCAGGCAGGAGATCAGACGGATTATATTACATGCAGAATGATTTCCGCAATAATTCTCTCTAAATTCAGAGTCGACGGAGTGGACTCAGAACTTGTGTCTGCAGTGTGCTCAGTTCATATCAATTCTGCATTTGAGAGGCAATTTTTTCATATTTGGGATGCTACAGTAAAACAAGCTATCTCTGGTTTATTGGTTTACAACTGAATTAAAATATACACTGAGTGTACAAAACACCTTCCTAATATTGAGTTGAACCCCCCGCCCGCCCTCAGAACAGCCTCAATTAATCGGGGCATGGATTCTACAAGGTTTCGAAAGCGTTTCACAGGGATGCTGGCCCATGTTGACTTCCCACAGTTGTGACATTGGCTGGATGTCCTTTGGGTGGTGGACCATTCTTGATACACATGGGAAACTGTTGAGCGTGAAAAACCCAGCAGCGTTGCAGTTCTTGACACACTCAAACCGGTGCGCCTTGCACCTACTAACATGCCCCATTCAAAGGCACTTAAATCTTTTGTCTTGCCCATTCACCCTCTGAATGGCACACATACACAATTCATGTCTCAATTGTCTGAAGGCTTAAAAATCCTTCTTTAACCTGTCTCCTCCCTTTCATCTACACTGATTGAAGTGGATTTAACAGATGACATCAATAAGGGATCATAGCTTTCACCTGGATTCACCTGGTCAGTCTGTCATGGAAAGAGCAGGTGTTCGTAATGTTTTGTACACTCAGTGTAGAATCAATGTGGTAAACAAGTGTAGTGCAAGCTAGTTAGTTGATGACGAATGTCTCTCATCATTTTGACCTGACTCTAAACATGTTTATAATAGGCCTGTGAATGGATGTGAGCTAGCGTATTTATACCAAACCCTGCACTGTCCTCTAAGTGTTAGCACTGTGCGCAGGAAGTCATAGTGTCGAAATGTTGTTAAACCTGTCTAGATCAAAGAGCCCACCCACAAGGCACACACTGGTTGAATCAATGTTGTTTCCATGTCATTACAATGGCCAACGTGGAATAGACGTTGAATTGACGTCTCTGCCCAGTGGCAGAGGCTTTTGGAATACAGCTGAACATTTACTGCTCATATTTTTCATTCTGTTCCTCTGCATTTTCAGAGACCCTTTCTCATATATTTAAGTGAGAATGTATTTTTATAATGTTTAATTAATGGTATTCAAAGTCTTCAGAGGGTGGAAGAGAATGAACAGATAATAACCGATACTAACGTCATATTGAGGAGACCAGAGGAGGCTGATGGGAGAGAAAGATAATAACCGATACTAACGTCATATTGAGGAGACCAGAGGAGGCTGGTGGGAGAGAATGAACAGATAATAACCGATACTAACGTCATATTGAGGAGACCAGAGGAGGCTGATGGGAGAGAAAGATAATAACCGATACTAACGTCATATTGAGGAGACCAGAGGAGGCTGGTGGGAGAGAATGAACAGATAATAACCGATACTAACGTCATATTGAGGAGACCAGAGGAGGCTGGTGGGAGAGAATGAACAGATAATAACCGATACTAACGTCATATTGAGGAGACCAGAGGAGGCTGGTGGGAGAAGCTATAGCTTTTTATATGTTTTATGTGTTTGATACCGTTCCATTTATTCCATTCCAGCCATTTCAATGAGCCCATCCTTCTATAGCTCCCCCCACCAGCCTCCTCTGGAGGAGACATGTTCTAATACAGTTGATTGGTAGGCTGCTCTGGATTTCAGTGATTTAGAACTAAGGGCAGAACATCTAAGTAAGAGGGCAGACTAGAGCATATTTTTTCACAGATCTGCATAGAATTATCCCACCTGCCTGAGGGAATTTTACGGAATAACTCCTAAATATCATTACAATTGCTGATGATGCATTTGCAACTAGTCAGTGCATTCTATCTCACAAGCATGTCTCTGTGTGTTTTGAAGTGAGTGTTTGTTGAATGGCATAACATATGACGCCACTTCCCTCTTTGGCAGAGAAGCATCGTGCAATCAGCAGTTGTTAAAGTTACAAAATCGAACCAGAAGTTGACCATCTGGCATTGTCATGCTGTCTGCGAGTACACAAACGATGTGAAGCTCTGCTCTAGTGCCGCGTTCAAGACAACTCGGAAACTCTGAATCTCTGAGTTAAAATGTGCGTACATTTTTTGCGTAGCGCTTCCTATTGGTTGATTCTGATACGTTCCTAGTGGGAAACTCTGAGCTTATCTTTCTTTCAAGTCTGAAATTTCAGAGTTTCAAAGTTCAGAGTTGTCTTGAAAGCACCATACTGGCTTCACGTCCTCATCAGAAATGGGAAACTGGGAAGCAGGAAGTCGTAAGTCTGACATGATTGTGTTCAAGTGCTTTTGAAGTCGGAACACTTTTTTTATCTAGCTTGATAAGTTATCTAACGTTGCTAATAATAAAGTTAGCTAACATGGACAAATGGTCAAACTAGCTACATTCTCCATATTGATAAGGTTGTAGTTGTCAAAACTGATTTGTTGTCATCTTTTGGTTGAAAAGGTTAAAGGTCAGTGGTGAAACGTCACAACTCGGCAACAGCATTTTCTCAGAGTTTCCCACATGTAATAGCACGTGAATGTGGCAATAGTCATGGGCTCCGACAGGGAGAGGACATGACAGTCTGTGGTAGAGCTCAAAAACTCTGGGCATGTTTACAGCTGTCCAGACAATTTAGACAAGAAAAATTGTTAACAAACCTTTTTACACTGAACAAAAATATAAACGCAACATGTAAAGTGTTGGTCCCATGTTTCACGAGTTGAAATAGAAGATCCCAGAAATTTTCCATACGCACAAAAAGCTTATTTCTCTAAAATGTTGTGCACAAATTGAGAATTTCTCCTTTGCCAAGATAATCCTTCCACATGACAGGTGTGGCATATCGAGAAACTGATTAAACAGCATGCTCATCACACAGGTGAACCTTGTGCTGGGGACAATAAAAGGTCACTCTAAAATGTGAGAATTTGACAGGACGTCCAACCGGCTTCACAACCACAGACCACGTGTAACATCACCAGCCCATGACCTCCACATCCGGCTTCTTCACCTGCGGGATCGTCTGAGACCAGCCACCCAGACAGCTGATGAAACTGTGTGTTTGCACAATTGAAGAAGCTCATCTGCATGCTCGTCGTCCTCACCAGGGTCTTGAAGTAACCGCAGTTTGGTGTCGTAACCGACATCAGTGGACAAATGCTCACCTTCGATGGCCACTGGCACGCTGGAGAATAAATCCTGGTTTCAACTGTACCGGGCAGATGGCAGACAGCATGTATGGCATTGTGTTGGCGAGCGGTTTGCTGATGTCAACGCTGTGAACAAAGTGCCCCATGGTGGCGATGGGGTTATAGTATGGGCAGGCATAAGCTACGGACAATGAACACAATTGCATTTTATCGATGGCAATCTGAATCCACAGAGATA